GACGCGCCGCCCTCGCCGCACCGTAACCCCCGGCCGGGGCTGGGCGCCCGGCCGCTCCACGCAGCCCAGGTTTGCCCGCTCGGGGGGGCTGGGGACGTTTCCCCAGGGGCATAGTGCTCACTGGCCTGGAAACGAGGGTGGGCAGGGTACGGCTTTGGCTGCTGGAATGACAGCTCCGTCCCCAGCCTGTCTCACTTGAGCCGAGAAGAGGGAGCTCCTCTCCCCGCTGGCTGCAGACCCTCTCCATGCAGAGCTTCACTCCCTGGGACTAGAAAGCCCCTAGACAGCCCACGAGAGACTGACAGCTTATTATAATTTTTAAGTAGCTCGACTGGAAAGGAAAGATAACCTGCTAGGAAAGTAGTGACCATTTCAAAGCTAAAAAATAAAAAGAGCAGCATGGCTGAGTTTGCACTCTTTAACTTTCTCTGCTGTGGGAAAGAAAGGATCAGTGTCTCCAGTTTATCTCCTTTTCCCTGCACGGTGCTCCACCAGGCAAAGCATTTCAGTATTCAACTTCCCTTGCAATTAACATTCTCTTGGATGGGACAGAAACCTTCCTGATGGCATCAAAGACGCTGGGACATGCACTTGGATGCAAGATTTTTGTCTGAGTCTCAGGTTAAACTCCTGAAGATCAATTTGTAAAACAAGGGGTTTACAAAACAAGGGGTTTACAAAACTGAATATGCCTAGAAGTGCTTTCAAAACACTTTAACACAACACATGCACACCGCAGTTGCTGGGCGGGTTGCACTGTGACGAAGCACACGCGTTGTTCCGAAGTCTGCTGTAACCCAGCTGGCGTGGGGAGCAGCGCAGGGAAGATGTGCTGGCACGGGCAAGGGGGTGGGCTTGCACAGCCTTCCCAGAGCCCTGCAACAGGGACTGCTGCTGAAGGGTAAACGCAGATGACCCTGAACCTGCATTGCCAGCTGGGATGGGACTGCAGGTAATATTTCATTTAATCCCTCGGTTATAACAAACACAATCATTATTCTTCTAAGTAAGGGGGATACAAGTCATGTCTCTGCTCTGCAGACCAGTGGTGCCAACTCTTCGCTCCAACTCATAGTTTTGGGATGCTTCGAATGTGCAATACTGGATCATGCATATCCTTTCAGCTTTAGTCTGTTGGATATCTTGACCTGCAGTATAGGCAGCAGTTGATGCAGTTTTGCTTTTGTTTCTTCTCAAACTCATAGTGAATATTAGAAGTGTTTCAAATCACCTATGTGGTCTTTAGACTAAATAAATGCCCATTCATATATATGCTCTAATTTATATGGAAATACAGTATGTAAAAATATCAGTTCTAAAACCTTGTACTTGATAAAAGCCAACAGCTGCACAGAGATCATACATGCAGTGAATAATGGTTTCAAACACTAACTCCAGCCAACAGAAACCAATGGTGCTCATGGAAGGGGCTTTTCAATAGGATTTGTAATTCATGTTAGAGTAGTTTAAACAGCTCTGAAATCGCAACTAACTCTCATGACACTGAAAGGGAGAAATGTCTGCAATTTTCTCTCTTCCTCAAGACCAGGCCAGTTCACGGTGGGCAGCAGGCGCTACAGCTCTGTGTCTGGGCTCATATTCCAAGTTTTGGGAACACGGGCATGCTGGGAATGCAGCATGATCTTGCCCGTGATCTCTGGCCCCTGCAGCTTCTCTCTGGAGCTCAAGCTTAAACATTTTGTGTTCATTTTGTTATGAACTGGAGGAGATGTCACCCATGTGTGGTTCCCCACCATGCCAGGCAGAGAGCCAGAAGGGAGCTACAGCCCTAAGCAGCTGCTGGGCAAACCTGCTCTTGGCTACGTGATCTGCAATTTGCATGAACAATTTCTTCCTTCTCAAATGATTTCAGTGTGAGAAGGAAGAAATTATATTTTTGTCTATGGTCACTCACCATTCATTTATCTACCACCCTTTGATTTCTGGAGGCTTTTTGTTCTCTGGCAGGGCAGTAAACATTATTAGCACGGACAGCAAGGAGGTGAGGTCCTGGGGAATACAGGCAGAGCTTTATGGTATGTTTACAAAAGGCGGCCAGAAAGGTGACATCAGTATGTACAGAAATGCAGCCGCTGTGCTGGCGCTGCGTGTGGCTGGGGGTTATCGTCCTCTGAAAAAAAAAAAGAGAGAAAACCTGCTATGATATACAGCAGGGATAATCTTGGGGGGAAAAAAAATTCCTTTCTGGTTTTTAAAGTTTCTTATTGTACCATTTGTAGTTAATGGGTATTCTGGGCCTGCTGAAGTCAGTAGCTTTGTCCCTAAGCTCCACATGAGAAGATCTAGAAGGGCTTGATCCACCAGGACTGGCTCACGCTTCATGTCTGCCGGCATATTTCTAACCTTGCTCCCTCCTGCGATGCTTTCCTCCTCCTCTCGAGACTGTGTGTCTTGGCAATGCCATTTCCCCATCTGATCCTTATCTCGTTCTTGGCTGCTGGACTTGCGGGGTGCAAGGGCACGTTCCTGCTCTGCAGCCGAACAACACATCTCCAGGGCTGAGCCGCAGGAATGTGCTTCCTGAAGAGCCTGGCGCTTGAAACGGCAGCCTGTGTTTGGTAACACAACTCGGCTGTGATTACTGAAAATGTTACTCTCTACCTCTGGACTGGAGCAGCTGAAAGAGGCTTTAAAATCACAAATTAAAGTATAAATACAAGAGGAGAAAGCAGTCTGTCCTGAAAAAAGGAAGACAGTGTTCAGCAGTGCTCATCACACACTCGAGCACATTTTCTCCAATTACAGTTGACCCTGAGGAAGGGATTCAGGCTACCAAACTGACCAAACACAATTCAGTTATTGATGAAAATTATAAACCCTGAGTGGGCGCCAGTGTTACAGCTGTCTGAGACAGAGCCAGCTCACCAGGCACCTGCATTTATTGCATGCTAGTTTACAGCCTAGAGAGCTTTCTCCGTATGATGCCAGGCTGCACGCATTTTCTTTTATGTTATCCTAACCCTGGGGGGGGGTCACTGGCAATGCTGGTCAGTACTGGTGGTCACCCCATGGGTCCTGTTTCCTGCACATTTTAAGGATGCCTCCAGTGTGGCAGCCTGTGGCAACCCAGGGTGCTCCCCCGTGTCCCCATACCCCTCTGGTGGGTGGCTGGTCCCTATATCCCACCCTATCTGTAGCATTGTCTTGCTGGGGGAATTGGCCAAGATCTGTAGTTCTGAGCTGTGATGGGAGTCAGAGCTGTGAATTCACACTCAGGAGGGTTGATCCCCATGCCCACAATTTGCAGGTTGAGGACACAACCTCAGAGCCACCGAATGCCTTAGTGGGCCATAAGGAGCCACCTGAGTCCTGATGTAGACCAAATTCAGCCCTTTTCCAGTCTGTCCAGCTCTGAAGATGACAGCCTCCATCCTTAAATAAGCTGCGGGGTGAGGGGAGGGCTGCCCACAGCACTGGAGCCTGTCCGATGCCGAGGGATTGGCAGGACAGTGGGGAGGAGCCCATGGGATCTGCCTTGGTTTCCATTAGCTTGGTTTGCTGTGCTGCAATTTTGAACTCAATTACATTGTTTGTAAAAGGAGAGTTTATAAATGCTTGTCACCAGGAGAACAAAGTTACATAATTAAACAATTTACCAGAGTCTGTGGCTTCAGTGCAGTTCTCTGGGGTGATTCAGTATTCCAATAAAAATACTGGGTGATACCATAAATATTGTAAATGGCTCTAGATGGTTTCCAAGGGCTATGTCAACTGTTTATTGCATTCAAAGAGAAAAGTGAAATCACAGAGAAGATGAAAACTAAATAAATAAAATAATGGGGTAAATAAAGCAAAAATATTTTCTTTTGTATTTTGAAAGCTCTGGAGAATATTTTTGGCCAGCATGAGAGAAGACCATCATATTTACCAGAAAAAGGAACTGAGGACAACTGTGTGCACTTGCTCATAGGTTATATATGTATGTCTGTGGGGGCTGTGCACAGATGCTTAGATAACATCAGCCCACAACACAGGGAAAACCTCTTTGTTTTTTTGATTGTTTGTGATATTTGCAAATTCCAGCCACAGAGCCCAAGAACACATCTCTTTCCCTGGCCAAGCTGTCAGGCTCCTGCAGCCCTGGCACCGTGAGAGCAGCTGAAGGAGGATGCCACAAGTGGGCAGAATTGCAGGATGGATTACCCATATCATTGAAAGCTTGGGAAGGTTGTTTAAAAGTTGTTACTCAAGTAAGATAAATATTTGCCAGGCATGATCCCACCATGCAATGACAAGTAAGCTATAAGGAATGTGTTAATAAAATATAAATGTTCTGAAAAGAAAACAAATGGTGTGGATGGGAAAACAAGGACAGAATGAACTTGTGGCACCTCCAAAGGCAACAATTGAAAACATATTTACATGGACTGGGCTGAAGTCTCTTCTGTCTTCTGAGGAACAGAAATTGCAGTATGTGCAGATCACCTTTAGAGTAGTGGGTTTTCAGTGTGCCATAAAACCCCAAATACTGCTTCCAAGATGGTTTGTCCATGTTTTACTAACGTGGAGATGTGGGGCTTGGCTGCTCGAGGAAGGGGGAGCTACCCAAACCACCACGAGTGCCCTGTGCCAGCACCCAGCACAGCAGCCCTGGTGCTGCCCAGCGTGGGGGCCCGAGGTCACGCCGCGCCGTGGCAGGCTGGCAGTCCCCTGGCGCTGTCGGGAAAACCCCTTCTCCACCCCAGCCACAAACTGGGCAGCTGCGGTGGATGTGCACGGGCTCCAGCGAAGGCTTTGGCACATGAAAGCACGACGAGCCAGAGGTGGAGTCCAGGGGCTGACGCCCTTGGCCGGCGGCTCGGAGGTGGCAGCGGGAGCACAAGGCCTCGCTTGCCGCCTTGGGAAGATGCACATCCCGCAGGCCCAGGGGCAGCTGCGGGTCTCTTGCACTGGAGAAACGCGAGAAAGCGTCCCGGCCGGGGAAGGCTCAGGCCCAAGTCCCACCATCCTAAAGCTACTCAGCGTCCCCCCCGTGGCAGAGGTAGGCAGAGGCAGCAGGACTGCGGGGGGAAGCACGAAGCGGGTTTTGGAAGAGGCAGCGGCGGGGTAAGGCGGGCGGGGCGCGCTACAGCGAGGGCAGCGGTACGGCGGG